TCTGTAAGCGAACATCCAGTACTTACAGTACAGCTGTGAGGGCTACATGGCTCTGGCTTTAGCTCAGTATGAGGACCTTTTCTAGCTTGTTAGTGGTTATCTTTATTGGCGTAAGAATGGCTTGCTGAATCGGGTATAGTGCGGCCTCTATCCCCTTGTGTATAGGCTGTGTGTCATTGTGCCATCGGGAAGGGGGGCTCTACATCTGTTTGTTGAATAAATCTAATGGCCCTAACTTGTTAGACGAACCTTTGAAAGGCTTCATAGTGAACCCTGTCGACCTTCCTTGGTAGTAGGTCAAGAGGTTGGCCGCCTCGGGCAAAAGGGTAAATCATGACTCACAATGAAAGTGTACAACCTCTGCAGAGTGTAAAACTGGTATATCAGCCGTGCTCACGGTCACGAGCGGCCTTAGACCCTTACAGAATAGATGATGAACACTGATGATACAGATGATAAAGATGCTCACTAATGGTTAATTGTTTATGCTATTCATTATTCATGTTTACCTAATCATATGTTTACATGGGCTGGTGATAAACTTGTTGCTATTCAATTGCTAAAATTGTGACAATTAAAAGCTAATCGTAGTTAAGCTAGTGTCAGCCTTTTGAACCTCATGAACCCCATGTTATATTTGTTGAGTACGACATGTACTTACGCTTGCTTTACTTTTCAATTATTTGGATAAAAATCCCGGATAGGTACCAGATTGCTAGAGTTTGGAGGAATTAGGCTTATGATCAACCAGTCAGTTGTCCCTGTGGAATTAGAGTCTTCACCCGAAGATCGGAGTTATCTTTTTGATGTTTGTTGTTTAAGGTTATATCCTTTATATGAAGTACGTTATATATTGAGCATTGTCTTTCGATATTACCCTTATTTGTAGCTATATGTGAGATTTAACTTCCTGAGTTCACATATGGTGCGTATCTGGTTTTGTTCTTAAAATTGGGTGCTACACAAGGAGATCCACTCTCCCGACTCTTGTTTGTTTTGGCAGCAGACCTTCTTCAGTCTATCATTAACAAAGCTTGGCTCTCTGGGATTATCAAATACCCCATCAGTGATTCCTTTGAAGGTGATTACCCTATAGTGCAATGTGCAGATGATACCCTTCTTATTATACCAGGTGATGCAAGAGTACTTTTCAATCTTAAAGGTCTTCTCAGGTCCTTTTCAGATTCCACAAGATTACATGTCAATTTTGCAAAATCATTCTTGGTACCTATTAATATGAATGACAGCAGGGCCACACACCTAGCTAATACTTTTGGATGCAAAGTTGGTGGTATGCCTTTCACCTATCTAGGACTGCCCCTAGGGACTACTAAGCCATCTCTTATTGAATTCACTCCACTTCTTACAAAAATTGAGAGAAGATTATTAGGTATTAGTAAGTTCCTCTCTTATAATGGGAGACTCATATCCTGGTGAACTCTGTATTTTCAGCTCTTCCAGCTTTCTACATGTGTAGTCTGAAAATCCCTCCCCAGGTCATAAAACAGATTGATATTTTTAGGAAACATTGCCTTTGGAGTAAAGGGGATATCAACATAAGAGGGAGCTGCCTAGTTGCATGGGAATTTGCTTGCAAACCAAAAGATCAAGGTGGTCTAGGCATCATTGACATCCAGAGTCAAAATGAAGCCTTGCTGATGAAATTCTTGACAAATTCTATATCAATCATGACACCCCTTGGGTAAAGCTAACCTGGTCTGCCTTTTATTCCAACAATCAAACACCCCCTCAAGCTAGAAGCCCAATTGGATCATTTTGGTGGAAGTACATCTTAAAGCTTTTCGAAAAGTTTTAGAACCTAGCTATATGCTCAGTACACAGAGGTAACACCATAATGTTCTGGTCAGATAATTGGACAGGTCAATTGTTGAAAACTCAGTTCCCTGAACTATTCTCCTTCACAAGGAAACCAAAATGCTCCATCAGTTACTTCCTGAATCAAGAAGATGATAGACTGATTAGTTTGCCTCTTTCTCAACTAGCTGCAGCTTAGTTCCAAGAAATTCAAAATTTGATACAAGGAAGAAATTGGGATGAAAATGGTAATGACACTTGGACTTATAATTGGGGTTCCCCTAGATTCAGTAGCAAGAAAGCTTATGGTGCACTAGTTGGCAACACTGCAGCCTCTCCTCTTTTCAGATGGCTATGGGCCTCAAGCAATCTGGGACAGCACAAGTTCTTCTTCTGGGTTCTTCTTAGAGATAGATTGAATACCAGAAACCTCCTCAGAAGGAAAAATATACATTTGGATAGCTACCACTGTGTCCTGTGTAATCTGAATTATGAGGAAACTTGCTTCCATCTATTTTTTGAATGCACATTCAACAGAGATTGTTGGTCCACTATCCCAATCAATTGGAACCTTAATGTCAGTGCTCTGGATATGATTATATAAGCTAGAGAAAACTTTGGTAATGCTAATTTAAGGGAAATAGTCATTACTGCCTGCTGGATTATTTGGACCACAAGAAATGGAGTCATCTTTGACAATGGACAGATCAACATCAACATTTGGAAGAGACGCTTCAAGGAGGAGCTTGGTCTGGTGTGCACCAAAGCCAAGCCAAACAGGCAGACCTCACTTAGTTTGTGGAGAGATAGCTACTCCTGACATGTTTTTCTCCTTTCATTTGGGCCTGGCTGCCTTGTACTTTCTCTCTTCTTGTGTTTTTGTTTATTCCTTTTTTTTGTCATGTACATAAACATTCTTTCATTTAATGGAAAAACAAAAAAATAGGTAGGGGACTCTACTACCGACTCGGTCAAAAAAAATATTGCCGTTGTATATGCACAAGGTTGATCGCCAATCCTAAATTGTGTGGACAACTTGAATCCAGACATTGCATGATTTCATATGTCACTACACTTTGTAGATTTCTTTCCGATAAGTAAACAACGAACGATCCATTTCACAAAATGAAAAATAATAATAGATAATAGATAGCAATGGCATCAGCAGTGTACCAGCTTTATAGTTACCACTTGTGCACGTGCGCAAAGACGAGACATCGATACTCGTATACAGCTACAGGATTGTGCACCTCCAGTAGTTATCGACGACATATCTTTATAAACACGCGTGCATTACACACAACCATATGTGCACCTCCAGTAGTTATTGACCATAGGAATATACATGGTGACCGTCGCTCTCATATATAGTTGCACTTAACCTATTTCAGTTCTTTCTCGGGCCACAAAAAAGTGTAATGGCATGTGGTCACTAACCATCTTCAGTGGTTGGTCTTTTTTATATATAAATCTTATTTCTAGAAGTGGTTGTCAATGTAGGCTGCTTCTAAAATAGGTGTAGCGGAGAAGTTTCATAATCCTACCTGATTCATTAAAAAAAGTTCCATAATTTTTACAAATTAAGTTGATATCAAATTTATAGAGCTCAAAGAAATCTAAAACTTTGTAGATGATGGCATTTTTCATACAAAATAGTTTAAGCTCCCCTGAGAGGCTAGAGTTACCGAGCTGCTCGAAGTTACTATTTGCTAATTTTACAGTGAATGTTCATATTTCAAAACTAATTGATTTTTATCTATCTTTAAAGGTGATTGTATAACCGTCTCTAAGAGTAGGAGTCGAAGGAACCACCTCTAGAAGAAGTAGAGGCGGTTATAAAGGAACGACCTCTGCGATTGATTATGATTGTTTCTTAAAATCATTTTTATTTTGTAGTAGAATGCATGACGGCGTACATGGCCTCGTCATTGCCTATAAATGGTTGACGCCCCATCCCAACCACGGTACTGCTCGCTCCTGAGCTCTGAAAAACCCACTTCGAGCTAAGATGGGCAAGCCCTATGTCTCTCTAGCAGTGCAACTGCTCCTTTGTTGAGCTCTGATGCCGGTCTCTGCCCAGTCTGTCGCTGCGGCTCTTCTCCAGCTCCGGTGACTCGGAACTTCAAGTGGGACGTGGAGTACATCATGTGGGCGCCGGACTGCCAGCAGAGCGTGATGATCGGGATCAACGGCAGGTTCCCCGGCCCCACGATCAGTGCCAACGCCGGCGACCTGATCAGGGTCGAGGTGACCAACAGCCTACACACCAAGGGGGGTCGTCATCCATTGGCATGGAATCAGACAGCTGATGACTACGGGGTGTTTGGGACTGCTCCGCTCCACGATTTTCAGTTTTGCTCCACGTTTTTTTAGTCAAACGGTTTAAGTTTCATGTACTCAGTTCGAGAGAAAAAAGGTGGAGTTGTGAGAGTACCTAAAGAGGTGCTCCACAAACTCCAGTTTTTTTATAGAGCTGCTCTACGATAGAATTTGTGGAGCAGTCTCAAACTTCACATATATCTGTGTAGCTGTGTACACGTAGTAGCGACATATAGCTGTCACAAAATTAACTAGCATCTGTCCCATGTGCATGCAGATCGGCACACCGTGGGCTGATGGAACTGCGGGCACGTTTAGTTCGGCACCTGCAAACTTTGTATAGTGCACGATTATTTACTGTAGTATTTCGTTTGTATTTGTAAATTATTGCCCAAACATTGACTAATTAGACTTAAAAAATTTGTTTCGCAAAGTTAAAGTAAACTGTGTAATTAGTTTTTGATTTCGTCTACATTTAGTACTACGTGCATGTACCATAAGTTTAATATAACGGAAAAACTTCTTTTTATATAGTGCACTTTTGCAAACTAAACAAGCGCTGCATCGATATCGCAGTGCCCAATCAACACCTACGAGTTCCTAGCTGACAAGCGAACAAATCATCCTACTATATATATAAACCGCCAGTGAAAATCCACGCGTCATTGACGATACGTATATGTGGTGAACCGGCCAAAAACGTCATTATTATATTATTGCATTATTGCAGCCGGGAACCTTCTTCTACCACGGCCACTTCGGGATGCAGCGGGCGGCGGGTCTCTACGGCTCGCTTATCGTGAACGGCACGGAGCAGCAGCCGCCAGCCGCAGCCCTTCGCGGCCGAGTACGACGGCGAGCTCAACATGCTGCTCAGCGACTGGTACCACGAGAACGTGTACGCGCAGGCGGCCGGGCTCGACGGCAAGGACAAGCACTGGGAGTGGGTCGGCGAGCCTGAGGTAACTGCGAGCTCATCCGGCGAAGCGAGCGCGGTCCCTTCTGAGAGAGCAGCCAGCTGTGCAAGCCGGTGGTCGTCGACGTGGACCCCGGCAAGACGTACAGGCTCAGGATCGCCAGCACCACCTCCCTCTCCGCTCTCAACGTGCAGGTCCAAGGGGTAATGATAAGCAAAATCCATTAAACATACATGTACACTCCATTGCAAAAGAAAATGGACCCACGATCGAGCGCGCACGCGTGCGTGCGTGTGCTTTAAATACGTGTCTGCTGTGCTTTTGCAGCACAAGCTGACAGTGGTTGAGGCCGACGCGGCAACTTCGTGGCACCATTCGACGTCGACGACATCGACATCTTCTCTGGCGAGAGCTACTCCGTGCTGCTAAAGACGGACCGGCGAGCGTCGTCGTACTGGATCTCCGTGGGTGTGAGAGGGCGAAGACCCAAGACACCGCCGGCGCTAGCCATCCTAATCTACACCAACAGCAAGCCTACAGGATCAAAGCCCTTGACGGCAGCCCCCCCCCCCCCCCCGCCCGGCGCCGCCGGCCGTGGACCGGCAGATCACCATGCTCAACACACGCAGAACATGGTGCAGGGGCACGTCAAGCGGGACATCAACCACGTCACCCTGTCGCTCCCGGCCACCCCCTACCTCGGCGCCTACTTCTACGGCATCGAGGACATCGCGTTCGACTCCTCCGCCGAGTCGCAGGACTCCTACGACCGCGACTACGACGTCCAGAAGCCGCGGGGGGCGCAGACCCCGGAGGCCAGCAGCCCCACGACGGTGAGCGACCGCCAGTGCCGGCCCCAGAGGTAGGGCACGAGGTGCGACGGCCGAGGGTCCAAGCGGAGGAAGGGCCAAAGCCCAGGTATCCAAACCCTTAGGTTGTATAGTCCATTAGGCATTAGCAAACTAATGAGAAGAGAGACATAGAACTGGCCAGGCGGCCCAAAAAGACAACATCAATATTTCTTTCCTAGTTTCCTTTCCCCACTGCCCTCGGATAGAGAAGAGGCGAGAAGTCACGCTGCACACAACACACTCTGACCGTGAGTTCACGATATGCGCCTTACACACGCGGAGCTGGCGAGCCGCGCCGCCGCGAAGAGCTAGACTACCGGAGACACGGACACGACACACGAGGATGGCGACCAAGCAGGGCTCCACGACGACGACATCATGATTCTTGGCTTCTTATGAATTGCGATCACCGATCAGTTGTTTAGGCCCAAGATATTTTTTTCTTTTTATTTTTAATTCAAATTAATTATTTGTATAGTATTTCAGACTTCTAATACTTTGTACCCATATAGTCATATTTTTCTTTTAAGTGTTAGAATTTTAGAATGTTACCTAAGAAACATTTATCATAGGTGAGAAAAGAAAACGAATATATTATTTTTTTAATCTACATTGTTCCTCAATAATTATCATACATCTACAAATATATTGTTTAATCTACATTGTTCCTCGATAATTATCAGACATATTAAATTAAAAATATGTTATTGAATTTGCTTTCGTTTTACGAGTAAAATTAGTGCTTATATATTATAAGATTATATACATGATTAAGAGGAGCCGTTGCGATAAGATCATCAGAACCCTTAAAATCCTAGGACCGACGCTGGCGACCGCGTGTTCCGGATCGCGTACGGCGCCGTCGTCGACGTGGTGATGCAGAACGCGAACGCGCTCGAGGAAGGCGTGAGCGAGTCGCACCCGTGTGGCACCTGCACGGCCACGACTTCTGGGTGCTCGGCTGCGGCGACGGCGTCTACGACCATGCCAGGGACTCCAAGACGCTCAACACGGTGAACTTGCTGCTGCGGAACACGGTGGTGCTGTTCCCGCACGGCTTGACGGTGCTCCGGTTCCACTGCATCGAGCCGCACCCCCACTTGGGCATGGGCGTCATCTTCGGAAGGAATGGAGAAGCTGCGGGAGCTCAATGTGCCCAGGGAGGCTATCACGTGCGGAGAGGCCAAGACGGCGGCGCTACCGCTCGCTCCGCCAGTGGCGCCGTCGCCGCCGTAAACATGACATGGACTCATGGAGATGTTGGATGCTGGTTTCGATCCTCGCATGCCCTCGCATGCCCGTTCCATTGGTACACTAATACATGCAGTGTACGAAAATTAGTATGCATGTCCGTACAGTTAAATGTTTGTTAAAAGAGAACAGGACTACAGGAGAGTTCCCATGCTATCAAAATGTACTCGCTCGGTCCTATAAAATATGGTACATCGTGGCTTCTAAAATTTATACTGAAATACAGTAAATTATATGTAATGACTATGCCTAAATTTAACAAAGTTTGTCAAAAAGAAAACCATAATTTAAGGAGAAACTTCTTGACTAGATATAATCCATGGATACATAAGTCATTTGAGTATTCTCTTAAGTTATCGTAAAAATTTTAGAATGCGCTATATTAAAGGACGGGGGAGTATATCACAACAGAAAAGAGTGTCATACAACAGTTAGGAAATAAAAAACTGAAGTGTCAGTGTCCGGACGTTCGTGCTGCACTCCGTCTCCCGCGCGACGCACTCCCTCACGCCAGCACGTCTCCGCCAGCGTGCCCCTAGACGTCTCCCACGCTGCCAGACTGCGCGCGAGGACCGCTCGTGCCCCCTCCCGCTTCCCACGCGCGTCCCAATATGCAACACCTGATCTACTATAGAAACATCAAGATACAGTATTTGCAACATACGTGTGAAGACGGATGAAACATTTCAAACATGCTTATGAAACATTTGCAAAAGCACTTGGAAAACACTAGGAAAAACATTGCAAAATATACACAACATCCAGATAAACACTGCAGCATATGTGTAAAATGTATGCAACATCCAGATAAACACACTTGAAACATACGTCTAAAAAAACAGATAAAATATAGAGAACAAAAACTTATAACATACATGTATAACTATTACAACATATAGAACATCTCAATCTACTTTTATAATATCTGTATAAAACAACTGAAACGTACCTCTAAAATATAACATATCTTTGAAACCTTATCCTTCCGTCTGGATAACGGAACAACTTCAATGTACCTCTGGCCGTACCACCGGAGGCTTCCACACGCTCTTGTGTCATGTGCGCCTCCTTTCGCCGCAGCAAAGTTGCCGAAAGACGTGTGTAATATGCCAATCACTGAGCACTCACGCTCGATCGTGTTTCACGAGGAGGCGCCTACTGACGTGCAGTGCGAGTGATGGCAGGCATATGTACTGACGATATGCTTGTTGCAACCGCGATCCATGATAAGGTGCTGGATACTCAGTAATTAACGGTGATTGCTACCTCTATGGTCTAGTTTGTTTGGAGCCTGTCTAGTAGTATTATAGAGTGGTGCCTATAATTTGACTCTTTGTTAATGCTCCATCAGACAAGTAATAAAATCATGGATTCTTTTGGTTGTATACACAGCCTATAAGCTTGAGAAATTAAATATAAACTTTATTCTCCTAAATGACGGAGTAGAACAGATCGCTAAAAGCCATCGTCGCCCGCGCTGCCTTGGGAGAACGGCCCCCAAACGCCACCACCCCATCCTGCCGGCGCTCGTGGGCCTCTGCTTCAACTGCCTTGCGCACGACCACATCGCCGCCCAGTGTCGCTCCCCGTCCCGCTGCTTCTGCTGCCGGGGTACCAACCATCGGGCCAGGGCGTGCAAGCATGGTCGTTCGCCGGCGTGCAAGCGAGGCCCTTCGTCGGCGTGCAAGCCTTCATCCTCCCAGGTGCATCGCCCCAGCCGGGGTGCCAAGGCACGTCGCCCCGCTGGTCCAAGGCGACCCAGTTTGTCACCGGGAGGTTGCGACGCACCAGGCCGCATCGACACCATCGTCGCCTCGTCGTGTGTAGCAGCCGACCACGCCATCATCGTCGCCGCAGCAGCCTGCCGCTATCACCACCTCTGGGTGACGCTGATAGCCGTCCCAAGATCGAGGTCATCGTTGTCCCGAAGAACACGGAGCTTGCCGCGTCTGGAACGGACTTTTCCCTTGTTCTTGTCGCGCTCGTTGGTGGGAATCGGCCAGCTGTCTCGCCGGCGGAGTTTCGGGCGCACCTTGCCTCGACGTACGAGGTGTCAGAGGGTGCGGCTAGTGTCTGTGCCTGGCTGAAGGCAACTTTGCACGCGAGCGTCAGTCGGACGGTCGCCCTAGCTCGTCGTGCGAGGTAGTTGGTCTTGAGGCTGAGGCGGACCTAGTGCTGTGGAGCCGGCCGAGGCAAGTGCCACCCGCAATTGACTCGACGCTGGACCCAATGTTGGTTGAAGTGGCAATCCAAGCTCCGCCCCCAAACCGTCGCTCCGCTTTAGAACCAGGACATGGGGACATGGCCACCTTCGTGGTCGACGATCCTAGCAATGTCCAGCCGGTCTTGACTTCATCCAAGGAAATGGAGATGCTGGGCGCGCCGAGGGACTCATCGAGCGATGACGATGTGGGTCGGCCAGCGTCGCCGGGGCCTGTACCACCTACGCTTCAGGAAACGCTAGAGGCGCGACTTTGCCAGGCGCGACTTTGTCTTCCGTTGCAAACGCTCCTCATCCACAGGCCGCCTAGGCTGCGTAGGCCCAGGACGTCGGTCTCTGTTTTGTCACTGCGGCGCAGTGACCGCCTTGCTGCGAAGCCACGTGAGGCGGACTCCACTATAACAGAACCGACCAATTATACGAGATTAAGTAAGGAAATCTTCCGCCGAAGCAGATAATTTAGCAAACTTAAGCCCATATAACCCGGTAGTCCGTGAAACCACGAGGGATTTCAAACCAATCGACATACAAACCAAGATCGTACAAGTTTAGCAAGTACCGTCACAAGTTACATAAAGTTCGCAATCACAGTTGGGTACATCAGAGTTTAGAATATAAAGTTATTACAAACCCAGTTCAATCTGAAATAGCGGAAGCAAATAGTTTTAAAGCCACACGCACACTTTTAGTTCAGATACAATGCCAGTAGGTAGTCATCTCCAACAAAAGCATCAGATGAGAGATACGGAGTGACCATTGCCCTTGGTCCTAGTTGTCACCCATCGCCAGGTACAGGCAGTTAATGCAATAGCCGTAGTACATTTGACCATCTGCAACAACAATGGGAACAACGCCCTGAGTATGAGAAGGTACTTGTCGGGTACCTTAGAACGGGGTACCCCAAGCAAACATCAAAATAAAGCTAGAAGGTAAGCCGTGGGCCCCTCACCTGCCACGACCGAGCCCTCCTCCACCTCGCCTCGAGCCTCGAGCAGGAGGTCTCGGAACAAACTCCGCCTCGCGCGAGGCTCCCCAGGGTAGGCCTCGGCAGGGGGCGCCGTCTCCGTCTCGCCCGAGGCTCTCCAGGGAAGGCCTCGGCAGGGGTACATTCTCCGTATCGCGCGAGGCGTCTCGCGCAAGGCCTCGGCAAGGAACCTGATCTCCGTCTCGCGCGAGGCCTCATTCTCCGTGTCGCTCGAGGCCGGGTCGCCCGCAGCCCGTCACCCCCCGCCTCGACCGACCCTCTAGACAACGTGTCATGTCCCATTAATGCTTCAACCACTCCCGCAATCTCAGCCGGACGACGGCTCAACGCCACAGAATGGCCGACGCGACCCAAGGTCGCATCAGCGCCATACCGGCTGGGACAGGGTACGGCGGGGATTACCGGCCACTGTGTCCTAACACTGTATCCACGATCTGCGCCATACCGGCTGGGACAGGGTACGGCGGGAATTACCGGCCACTGTGTCCTAACACTGTACCCACGATCAGCCGCCCACTCGAGGCCTCGGCACCATACACCAAGGTCTCGGCCATCTTGGGGATCGTGCCTGCCGAGACCCTTCCACCATGGTGCAGCCTCGACACCAACCAAGTCTCGGCCTCGCGCGCAGTCCGTCCACAGTGCCTTGCACGTCCACCGCCGCGCCCACTCCGAGGCAGTCCCGGGGCTCCCACGACGCACAGGATCTGATAGGACAGCCACGTCGCCCCAGTGCTCCAAGGACGGACCACTCCGATGGCCACACCGCCACAGGAACAGGCTACAGGGCCCGGACACGCCGCCTCTGTTCACACGACGCCGTATAGTCAGCTCATGTACCGCCCTAGTCCTCCCTTCATGCTATAAAAGGAGAGGACCTGGGTTGTTTTAAGGGGGGGGACACCTTGTAACACACACACACACACACGCACACTCCTGCCGCCTGAGAGCAACGTCTCAAGCGGCCCGCACGGCACCCTGCCGAGACCTAGGACCAGCTCCTTCTCTCCTTTAGCTTGTAACCCCCTACTACGAGCACCTCGGTGCAAGGAATACAAGATCGATCTCTCAGACTAGACGTAGGGCCTCGATTGCCTGAACCAGTATAAACCTTGTGTCTCTTTGCATCACCATCCGGATCGGGAGCACGCAGAACAAATTCACTGGTTGGTTGAGGACCCCCCGGTCCGAAACACCGACAGTTGGCGCGCCAGGTAGGGGCCGCTGCGTGTCGGTTTCGTCATCCCAGCATGTTGCGGATGGCAGACCCCGTACGACCATTGCGTCTCAGCACCGTGGTTTGGTTCGGGAGCCTAGAGTTCATGTCTCTAGGGCATGAGTACGACATGGTGCTCCTCACTCCTCGAGCCCCACCAACCAACGATGAAGTTACGCCCCGGCAGCCCAGGCGCGGGCGGCGTCCGGGCGGCCGCTCTCGCCGCGCTCGCCAAGCACGGCACGAACAAGGACACCCCGACGCTACGCGAATCCAGGGCGACACGCCACCCCCCGCCGATATCCTACGACAAGCTATTGGCACAGGGTCCCTGGCTGGGGACC